GGTTAACAGTAGAGAAACCAGACAGAAACAGAAGCTGAGAATGGCTGCACAATTCCAAGAATGTAATCAATGTCACTGAACTGTACTTGTAGAAAAAGTCAAATTGGTATATATCTTGCTATGTGTATTCTGAACAACTACAAAATAACTTTTTTTTTTAACACCCAAACTTGCAGATAGTACCCATTTGAACTAGCTTTGATGGCTTGATGATGAGAACTCGACGAGAGGAAGATTAAAAAAAAAAAATCTGATAAAGAAAACAAGTGTAAATCACTAAAATTTGAGAACTTGACCTATACTTATGGATGTAGTGGCTCAAAATGCCAACTGAGAGGGAAGGAGTCTTCACATCAAGGATCAATCCAATCCCTTCTGTACACAGGGTTCATAGGGATGGGCAACTTAGACACTGGCAATTTAAAATGGGCAGAGGAGGTTATAAAGACACGGAGTGACTGGCTTACAAGTTTTCAAGAGGGAATTTAATTTCAGAGGGTGAGGGGGAAGGTAGAAGCCCCACTGAATAGTTTCCATCTCGTCTAGATGGGTCTGGTGAAAGGAGATGAGGATAAGAGTCTTATGATTCAATAGTGAGTAACTGTTATCATGATGAACTGAAATGGTCACAAATATAAAGGTAAAAGTTTTGTAACATAAGGCGGGCGGGGATTTGAGGGGAGTAGTTAATCTTACAGTCAAGTAACAGAGGACTTGACTATAAGGGAGAAGAACACGAGTGGAATGTGGGACCCTATCCAGAGAAGCAGTGATACCAGAGATATAGGTAGAGATGATAACATGGAGAGATAGAGCAGCTGGGGTCTCTAAACTCATGAAAAGAGAAAGGCTGTATGCTGGCAGCAAGAAGGCAGGCTTGCAGAATGTGCCCTTTGATTGTTTAAATGACTATATATTCCTGAGTGTTTTAGTGTACATCAAAACAAAAAAACAGAGGAAACAGTAGCAAATATTGTTGAATGATGATGCTTGGAGGAGACTGTAATCATTGCAATGAAACAAAATACAATAGGATGAGTATAAAACCGATGTTCTATGTAAACTAACACTCAATTCACACAAAAAGCTTTTAAATTTTTTTTAATTAACTCTGCTCATCAAAGGACTTTATCAACAAAATAAAGAGTTAATCCACACAATGGGAGAAAACCTAGGGAAACCAAATAGGCTCATGGGTTTAATATAAAAAATATAAAGAGAAGTCTTAACAATTAACAACAAAAAAGCAAACCACCTAAAAAAAAAAAACATGACAGCAGCACTATGTAACCAAAACTGTATATTCTACATAGCCACAGAACAGGAGAAAATACGAGCGGGCTTCAAAATTTTGTGGAAAAATCCCATTATCTTTTGATTCCATTTCTCCATGAACTTTTCAAAGTCCATATTTGTAAATTATATATCTAATCAGAAACTTTTATCTAGAATATATACAGATTTTTACCATTGCATAATAAAAAGGCAAATTAACCAATTTAAAAATAAAGGATCTGAATAGACATTTCTCCAAAGACACATACAAATGCTCAGTAAACACATGAAAAGATGGTCAACATCATTAGTCATTATTGTTGTTAAGCGCTGTTGAGTTGTATTATTATTATGACTCTACTCGTAGTGGCCTTGCATAGGGTTTCCAAGGGGTCATTAGATAACTGCAAATTAAAACCACAATGAGACATCACCCACTTGATTCCCATAGTCAAAAAAGACATACAATAACAACTACAGTGAAACTGTGAAGAAACTGGAAACCTCATACAGAGCTAGTAGAATTGTGAAATGGCACATTCACTGTGGAAAACAGTTTGGCCATACCTGAAAACATTGAAAGAGGACTCCTAGAATTAGCATACTATCCAGAAAGTCTACATAGATGTGGTGCTGTAGGATAAGCATTTGACCATAGGTTGGTTTCAACTGCAAGGCTGGCAGATCAAACTCATATATACATTGCTGTTGCTAAAAGTGGTCAAGTTGGTTCTGACTCAAAGCAACCCTGTATAGGGTTTCCAAGGAGCGGCTAGTGAGCCTGAATCAATGACCTTGTAGTTCAAACTGCTCTAGCAGTCCAGCACATTAACTCAAAGTGTCACACACCAGGACTACATATATATATGTATGTATACACATACATATACATATCTCAGAAAGAGAGTCCTGGTGTGGCACAGTAGGATAAGCATTAGACCCCAATGTTGGTTTAAACTGAAAGATTAAAGGTTCAAACTCATCAGTCGCTCCTCAGAAATCCTATACAGGGTCATTATGAGTTGGAACCATTTCAAAAGCACTTAACAACAGCAACATATCCAAGAGATGAAAAAAAACCTGTCCACACACACACAGAACACTTCATACTTGATCATTCACAGAAACATCTGTTGGCAATAGCCAGAGAGCAGAAACAAATGTCTATCAATATATCAAGGGATAAATAAACTGTGAAAGAGATTTAACACATCCATATGAACATCTCAGTAGGTTTTTTTTACAGAAATTGACAAGCTGCTCCTAAAATTTATATGGAAATAAAAAGGGAATAGAATAGCCAAAACAATCTTGAAAAAGAATAAGAGGGCTTACACTACACAATTTCATAGCTTACTATATTCCATACAATGGAATTGTTGTTGTTACTGTTGTTAAGGGCCATAGAGCCAGTTCCGACTCATAGAGACTCTGTATAGGGTTTTAAAGGAGCAGCTGATAGCTATGAACCACCAACCTTGCCGTTCAAACCAACCTTTCAATCCAGTGCTTATACTACAGTGCCATACCAAGACTTCTACAATGGAATATGATTCAGCAATAAAAAGAAATTAAGAACATAATGACACAGGCTACAACATGAAAGAACTTTGAAAACATTATTCTAAATTAAAGACAGTATCAAAAGGTTACATACTGCACATCTGATGCTATTTACATGAAGTGTCAAAAAACAGGCAAATCTACAAAGGTGCAAAGTGGATTTGTGGTTGTCTAGGGCTAGAGGATTTAAGGAGCTCTGGTAGCATAGTGGTTACGAATCAGGCTGTGAGCCACAAGGTCAGCAGTTCGAAACTACCAGCTGTTCCGTGGGAGAAAGATGAGGCTTTCTGCTCCCATAAAGAGTTACAGCCTCAGAAACCCTGTACAGGGCCACTATGAGTTGGAACCAACTCCACGGCGCATAACAACAACAGGGCTAGGGGATTTAGGAGAAACTTGGGAGGAACTAACCATTAGTGGTTGCTGGATGTCTATTGGGGATGAATATTTTGTAAAAACTGATTGTAGTCATGACTGTACAGCTGTTTAAACGTACTAGAAATCATTGATTTGTACACTCTGCTTCTGCCATGAAATTGATTTCAGCTTAAGGCAACCCCTATGCACATCAGAGTAGAACTGTACTCAATAGGGATTTCAAGGCTATGACCTTTCAGAGATCAATTACCAGGTATATCTTACAAGGTGACTCTGGCTGAGTTAAAACCATCACCCTTTAAGCTAATAGTCAAGTGCTTACCTTCAGTGATACCCAAGGACTCCATGCATACTTTAAATGGGTGAATTCTTGAGTATATGAATTGTATCACAATAAGGCTATTTTAAAAATCACTTCAGTATAACCAATGATCATTTCAGGATACATTCTAAGAATTTTCTCCAACATATCCTGCTTGCTTGCAACCCTAAAAAGTACAATGGAATTTATTTGGATCTCTTGTCTAGAATATGGGATAGTGAGTTTTTCAGGACGAGATACAAAAAAAAAAAAATGAACAAACTTTTTATTTTGAATTCTGCCTCACCCATTGCCACTACTGTTGTTGGGTACCTTCAAGTCAG